AAAAAAAGACCTTTGAAGTAATTAGGGTTGTGACTTGTACCTCATCGTGACATTTTTGCAGTGCCTGCTCTACTTTCTAGAAACTACCTGTCCAAGTTCCAACAACAACATACCCCGTGTAATCCCACAAGCGATCTACTTGTCCATGAGTAAAGAAAACTAATTCTCCTATCTTAAACACCGATTCTGATAATTCACTTGACTTTTGTAAAAATCTGTTTTTTCCTATAACCATCTTATACTTGTCCTTTTACAAATTTAAGCTAGTAGAAAGAAAGGAGAGAAAAAACTATGGACAATTTATAATTGTATAGCTGTGTCATTACTATCAAATCTTTGCCCTAGTATCACTAACTAAAAGTAGTTTCTTCTCGATTTAGTATAGTCACATTGTACAAATACTAAGTGGTATTTAATTAAGTTGTTTTGTAAGAAATTGTGTTGACTATGAGACACTATGAACTGATGTATTTCTGATATTTGAGTGAGCCTGGTAAGACCTGTATAGAGTTCTTATAAAGATTTACTTTTTTGAATTTTATGTTTTGTATACCTTGGACTTCAAGGGTTGTGAAATCCTTTTCCTTTTGCACCACTTTGTTTCCAATAGTAGTAAGATTGAGGATTATTAGGTGGAGATTGCCATGTTTGTTGGTGGTATCTGTTTGTCATATTTGGATTCATGGATTTATGTTAATTTGATTTCTGCAATATGCTATTTTGAATATAGTCCTTAATTGGAACTTACCTATTTCAAAAAAATAGAAAAAGAATATAGTCCTTAATTGGTTTCTTTTAATTGACGCAAGTAGATGTATGTTTGTATTAGGTAAGGGAGATGCCCAATGTCCTGATACTGCCGCGCAGCGCAGATTATAGTGAAGAAGTGTGGATGGAAATAAGGGAGAAAGCTATTTCTATGCTGCAGTCATTCTTCTTGGATGGTGTTGCTCCAAAGGATTCAGTGTCCGATGAAGAAGAGGAAAGCGAGATAGGGTATGACAATGAAGTTCACCAAATACAAGATGTTGAAAGCACGCTGCAGGGTTCTCCTAGTCAGCAGGCCATTGAAGATGTTGCAGAGAGCTCTCAGAAAAGATTAGCGAGTGTCTCGAGGGAATCACCTAGTCAGCTTCAAGGCTCCATGGTATCTCAAAATAGTTCTGGTAGATCTGAAGTAAAGAGAAGTCGATCAGGTAAAAAGGCTAAAAAGCGGCATGGGCGCCAAAAATCACGACACAAAGTGGATGAACATTTGGCATTTGAAAAGGAGAGTACGTCACACCATGAAGATGGGGCAACAATGAGCGGAACAGATCAAGGTGTGAGTTCCAGTTCACGTTTTGCTTCTCCAGAAGATTTAAGAGGTAGAAAGACATCAATTGAATCAATACAGGAATCATCAGTGGAGCATCTATCAAAAAAAGGCATAAATCTCAGCAGAAAATCTTCAGAACTGCTGAAGGATGGTTATGTAATAGCTTTACATGCAAGACATCATCCCGCTTTGCATGTCTCCAGACAAAGAGTTAAAGGGGGTGGTTGGTTCCTCGACACAATGTCAGATGTTACAAAAAGAGACCCAGCGGCACAGTTCCTTGTGGTTTTTAGGAGCAAGGTATGCCTGACAAGAAATTTTCTTTTCCAGTTGTTGCATAGCTGCCCTCTACCTTCAGTTTGTGGGTAACTATCAGCATAGTGCTTTGGGTTGTGTTGAGGGGGTGTGGGTGAGGAGAACTAGGAGCCATTGGGAAACTTCTGCAAAATGTTTCAGAAAAAAATTTCTGCAAAAAGAAAATATATGGATTATTATAGTTCTTTTTGTGTGCTGTTTCGAGAGTAGAAGAACTTGTTGCCAACCCCCTCAAGCCACGTATAAATATATAGTTTCTTCTAAAAACTGTTCTCAGAAACTTCTAGAAAAAAAATTAAAAAATACATTTTTTCAAAAACATTTCCTCAAACTAATGCTTTGTGAACACATATAATAACTCTGAGGTTCTCCTCTTTCAGGATACAATTGGGTTGAGATCATTTACTGCTGGAGGGAAGTTACTGCAGGTATGTTTTATCACTGTAATTCTTGTTATAAGACATCGTTGACCAAACCATTAGGAAACTGCAAAAGCTTTGAAGTTAAATTGTTGCTTCTACATGCTAGGAACTTTAAGTTTGAGATCACTTGCGTATTAATTCACTTGGACAAACATAAAACTCTGGATGAATAGTCCTTGTATTTATTTCATCAGAATAATTCTTATTTTATATGTAGAAATTTTTTACCCCTCTCCGCAGAAGATGCTGTAGCTTTCCAATTGATCTTTGTTCTACGTACTTAATTTTGGTAGTGTATAAAATACTTTCTCTATGTTGTAAGTTAGCATCAATAGCTGAGGTAGAAGTTCATTTCCATATACCTAGTTGCTATTAAGAAGTTATTCGCTCCAAAATTTGAGGGACTTTTGTGTTGGTGAAGTTCTAAATGTGTCGATATAAGACTTTAGGAATTAGAGATATTAGAATTGTTGCATCCGTTCTTTTGTGGATTTCCAGCTTGCTTGATTTTCTTGGTATTCATATATAAGCGGTGATTTCACCCTGACCCCGATTTTGCAGATAAATAGGAGAATGGAATTTGTATTTGCAAGTCACAGTTTTGATGTTTGGGAGAGTTGGACATTTGAAGGCACTATGGAAGAATGTCGACTAGTTAACTGTAGGAATCCTCTGGTAAGTTCTTGTTCTGCCTCAGACATTCAGGACTCTAGCTCCCGTGCCCCATCGCATGATAGTTACTTACTGTAATTATTTTGGTATTATGTCCCCAGTACATATCTTTTCCGTTTCTTTGAACAGTGGTTTTTGATCGAGTGGATCACTACATCCATTGGGAGATCAGTTATTTAAGAATACTTATTCTCTATCATCCACTTTAGAAATAACCAATATTTTTGTGTTGCCATCACTGCAACCTGCAGGCTGTTTTGGATGTACGTGTTGAAGTACTTGCAGCTGTTGGAGAAGATGGTATCACTCGATGGCTTGACTAAGCAGTTGCGCATGATTCTTTAACATATGCTGTGCTGATGCATTTGGAATATTTACTTTACCACAAGTAGTTTTGTAAAGCATTGAGTCTCCCTCAAAGCAAGAGTTGTAAGTTTTTAAATGTAACTTTCATTATTGCCTCCTGTCAGGGTTCTTTCTTTCCGTGACAATGGCTTATTGTAATTTGAGGATTCAGAATAGGCTTGCCTTTTGTTTTGACTGTTGCTTTTTTTAAATGGACGTTTGCATGCTTTGCGAGTAAAGAGTAGTGTAGTACATAATGATACTTCATAGCTGCTAACTCAAAATCTTCAATCCCTGTAGCACCAAAGTTTTGTTCCAGCATAAGTAAAAGATTATTGCGAGGTAATTTCTTCTAATCTATCTAGACAATTCCTGTGCAGACATTTTGAATAATCCGCTTTTATCTACATGTTATTATACTGTAAATTAGATATTGTACTTGCTAATATTAGATAGCAAAATTTTATTTTTTTAACAAAAATATGTGGTCAATCAGTGATCCGTTAGCTCTACCTTTTTATCTGTACCTAAGCTGTAACATTAGCTATGTGTGAACAAAGAAGAAGGAATCTGCCTTTAAAGCCAAATCACTAGTAAATAAATGGTTAATCTTTTTTCTCAACGTCCAAGTGAAGTTTTTTGTGGCAGATGAGGCACAACTAATACTCTAATCGTATGTGTGTGAGGACATCGTATGTAACATGGACAACCCTAAATTCAAATGAATTCCTTAATACTAACCTAAAGTTTTAAATTCAATCTTCTTATTTTAGATTACAAGAGGCCAGAGGATAAGAATGAGACAATCAATTAGCAGATTTATGATAGCGCACAAAACTACAAAACGCCAAAAACTAAAAGAAACAGATAAATAGCCATTTCATATTTTCTAGAGGTTAGCTGACAATAAATTGCAATAGGTATCAATACTCGACTAGTGAATTATTGTAGCTTGCGCAGAATGTCCATATATTCCAAGAATTTAGTCACTTACACTTTGTTTGGATTATTGTTACCCATTATTTCATAATGTATTGTATTGTATTGTACTGTATTGTATGGTAGATACAATGTTCGACTAGATTATATTGTTTGTTGCTCTTTAATACTATTTTAATTGTTTGATTTGATTGTATTGTACTGTATTATAATTTATAAATTTACTTAAATATCCTTAATTATTTTAGGATTGGAGATTTGACTAGATTTAAATAATTAAGATAAAGGATAAAATATTAATTTAAAATATTATGTAAAAATATAATTGAAAAAAGAAATTAAGTAACAATGAGAACACACTAAATCGGTTGTTCCACAAAATAGGGGTTTCCATTGTTACGAAACAATAAAATTTAAGTACAATACATTTTAAGTAACAATCAAAACAAACATTATAAATATAGTAACAATATAATATAATACAATGAATAACAATGATCCAAACATAATGTTAAAAAAGAAAAAAAAGTCAAGCAGAAAGGCGACTTCTTTGTGATGCGTGGCTATAATTTTTTTTGGTTTACCAACTCCGTAGTAAAAAGATTTTTCAACCTCCGTTGCTCTTACATACTTTGTTTAGTAACATGTGAATATATATTTTAAAAGGAAAAGACAAGCGGTAGAAAGGAAAAATTGACTATTTTATCCCTAACAAAAAAAATCTTAAATTCAATTAAAATTGTGTCATACTCAAAAAAAATGTTATAATTATAATTTAAATTTAATCAAAATTTAACGTAGACTCCGAACTTGCTAAACAAAAAAGGTGGGGATGAATATAAAAATGTGTGGTTATTAAAGAGTTAAGTACAGGTCCCCACTAATTAAAATACTAAAAAATAATGGCCTCACATGACTACTAGTCATACTTGTATGATATAAACTTTCCAGAACCTGCCATTTGTTGAGAAATGCAAAACTCATTTCCACCTTCCAATTAATTACACGTGGACGTTCATGATCACAATTTTCCCTCCATTTGCAATGATGTCGGTTAATCATCTCTCACAATACATTTCTCTTCAAATAAATTTCCATTTCATAAACGAAACAGACCATAGAGAACACTCAAAAAGCTGAAGTTTCTGTTGCTATATATTGATATACATAATAACATATGGTGTCTGTATATCCAACACCACCGGGTCAAGATTTTCACTACATGGGGGATCCGATGAAAACGGGTCTTATGGGTTTGCATCCGGTGCAGTCGGGTACTAGTATACATGGGAATTTGAATTTGGATTCGAATACAGGTTTGGTGGTGTCTGATGATCACAGCAAGAAGACACGGAAGCCTTATACGATTACTAAGTCTAGGGAGAGTTGGACTGAGCAGGAGCATGACAAGTTTCTTGAAGCTCTTCAATTGTGAGTCTCTCTCTGTTTTTATATTAGCTCAAGGCACTTGTTTGTGTTTTGCTGTTTTATGTATGGTGGATATCACTTCTTGTTGTTGAGGAAGTTGAATAGGACTAGAATAAAATGGAAGCTTTGTACTTTTTAGGTTATGTTATGAAATGGGAAATTGTTAAAACATTGTGGAGTAGGTGAAGGGGAATATGGAGAGGGGAGAAGGATGGACGCAGGAGCTCTGAATTAGGGAACAAGGATCAACTTTTAAGTTATAGTATATCTGCAAAGTTGCCATGTTGGTGTAACAGGGTCAATGAGGGTTCATATAGCCGACCCCGATTTGCCTGGGATTGAGGTGTAGTAGTTGTTATATCTGGTGCAAAGTCGTCCTGGAGGCACTGGTTGTAACAAGGCTGGTTGGCGGCAAAAATCTACCTAGCTATTGAAAAAAATTAGCTAGTCTTAACCATACATGGCACCATGTTTTGACCAGCTACAGGGGATCAAAAAGTAGGAACCAAGAAGCAAAACTCATTACCTCATTTTTTAAATAAATCTCACTCGTTGATTGTCATTGATGGTACATACTTATTAAAATCAAAGCTACACATCTGAGGTATGGAGAAACATTATAGGCCGCATCATAAATGCAAAGTCTAGTCCTGGTTGCGATGACTTTGAGTAGGCTATCAAAGCTACTTACTAGTAAGAAGAAAAACGAAATCAGTCTATATGGGAAGGTAACAATCTCTTGGGGCTTGGCCAAAGCTTCAATAGAGGGAAAAGTGGGAGCTGAGAAGAAAAGTTGCCCATCTAATGTTGTCATTGATGTTATGCACTTACTATAATTAAACCTTGATAAATGTAAGGAGAAGTCTTTCAAGTGTTTATTCTATCATAGACTATATTCAACTTTGCCACTGTGGTAAGCTATGTGCCAACACTTGTGACCTCTAGCTGACAAGCTAAAAAGAAATCGAGGCTCGGATAGTTCTCGAGGTTTAGCTTTAGGATAACGGATAGTATCTATTCTGGAGTCTCAATCAAGAGTCATGGAAAAAGCATATCCTAAATTTTTGTGACTTGTTCTTTCAGGTTCGACCGTGATTGGAAAAAGATTGAAGCATTTGTTGGGTCGAAGACTGTTATCCAGGTAGTTTGTTAGTCAGATGGTTTTCATTTGTTGACTTATTTGTTCTTTTTTCCCGATCTGAAAGAATATCTGATATCTGATGTGTTCTGTAGACAAAAGAAATAATGTTTATCTTAGTTATCTAGCGAAAATTTGCCTTCAGATTGAGAGTGTATATTTATCGTCAGCGAAGGTAGATTCTAGTTGTGCAACATTTGATTTTCTTGAATTGACCAACTGTGTTCTATTATGTAGTTGTGATCTAGGGTGGTTTGTGCTTCTCCTGTTCTCCCTTTACCTTCACAACGTGTATGAACTGTAAGCACAAAGAAATGTGCGTGTAAGAAACAACAAAGACTGTCAAGAAAACTAGAAATGGGGTGGGCTCTAGACTGGAAGGATGGTAAAGTGAATGGTAGTCAAAGTGATATAAAACAAGTGAAAGTAAAATCTAGGTATGAAAATGTTGTGTAGACAGATACAACATTTTGGTAGTACTTTCTCTTGGATACCGAGGGGAGCCACCTCTTATCTCTTGTTCAAAATTAGTCATGGTGTTCCAGAATGCGACTTAAGTATCTCTCACCTGGACGCAGATATTGTATCGTATTTCCTCATCTCCTACCTCTCTGTTTATCTACCAAGGTATGCAGGATAGAAAGATTTTTGTGAGAATACCCAATGACTTTCTTATATGTCAATGAAGACTTAAATTCACCCAGAACGTATGTATGTGTATGTCTATACATACATACAAGCAATTTTCTTACAACTGTTCGACAAAACTGTTCTCAATCATGTTATTTCTTCTTCCCCATCCGCATTTGACAAGATAACTTCTTCTTTTTTTTTCCTTCTCAAAATAACTAGAAAAAAGGGCTTATCTTTTGTTTATCTTATGCTGACCCAGTACAACTTGCCTAGAAAGTGTTTGATTATGAAACTTGCCATTTTCTATGACTTATCACACGTTTACAAGAGCCCTTAATGGTATTAAAACATGTAACTGATGAGGAGCAATACTTCACATAATTTTCTGTCAAACTATTTAAATGCTAAATGCATTAGTCTTTTAGCCCAGGGTGTTCAAGAATTATTTTAGGAGAAACATCTGTTGTATGCTGGTGAAGAACTAATATCAGCTCAATGTCTAGGTCGTGTGCCAGTTGCCTGGTCACAGTTTCACTATTATGTTTTATATTTTGATATGCGTCAATGTACTAAAGAGCAAGCTATGCAGATACGTAGCCATGCACAGAAATACTTTCTGAAGGTCCAGAAGAGTGGAACTAGTGAACATGTACCTCCCCCACGCCCAAAGAGAAAAGCTTCTCATCCTTATCCACAAAAAGCTCCTAAAAAGGGTAGGGACAATGTCAATCATCTATTTGTTTGTTACAACAGATCGGACTGAAACTGATTCTAACTTGTATTGTTGTATCTGCCTTCAACAGTTATTTCCCAAGTCGGCAGCATCCAATTTCAACCTCCTGGTGCCCTGCCTGTACCCGGATTTGGTATCGGGCCCGATCCTTTATCAGTACCTGGAAATACAATTAATTTTTCTCCCTGGACTTACGACAATGTGCCTGCCATTAGCACGATACAGACGAGAAAAGGTATGTGTCTGATGATATTAAGGAGATACATATAAGTGATTCTTAGCGCCTTGCTCAAGAAGAACTACAAGTTGAATTTTGTTGTTCTCAGATGACGCACAATTATCCAGTGGAGGAGTCAAGCAAAATTGCAGCAGCAGCAGTAATGAAAACAACCCTAGGATTAATAAGACTAAAGAGAGCAATGACCAAAATGAGAGCCAGAAGCAAATGAAAGGTGAGTGTTTTTGTTACTCGGGATGTGACCCAGTCTAAGCTGGTGAAATATTTGTGACACTTGCGCTGCCTGTGAAGGCCTCTTAGCTGACTTTTGCCCAGCCTAAGCTGGTGAAATATTTGTGACACTTGCGCTACTGTGTAGGCCTATAAGCTGACTTTCTCGTTTTATCAATGTACTTCTTTGGTTGGATCCTTTCCCGTCACCCTTTTGGTGCATAAACAATTAGAACAAATTTCATATATCAAAATATAAATATGTACGGAATGTGTATTGGCTTGTAAAGAAATTGTGTGCTAGCGCTCACTAACATGATGTAAAATGCTCAGTAGAACTGTATGTTATAGCAAAGCATTCTCTTCTGCCCCAGTTAGGTTTTGTGACTGATCTTTTCCTACTAACCTAAGTAGTGTGTGACAGTTAGGCCTAAACTGGGTGTTAGTCGATTGGTAGGTGCTTGGGATGGATTGTGGAATGCTCGTAGAAATGTCAAATTATTTGTTTTTGGAGTTTGATGTTGTTTCGGTCGATATATAGAGCAATTTACTGGTGGAAAAAGATTATCTGACCAACTGAACCTTATGGGAAAATTCCCCCGTTATAGAAATAGAACAGATTTCTATGCTAAGATGTTTATTTAAGCAGCCTCAACTTCTTTCACTTTTTCATCTCCAATACTGCTCTTCGAAGGTGGAAGTAACACTGGCTTTCCCCCTCACCTTCTCAGTTGTGTATATGGATGGCTATTCCTAGATGTAACAAGAAATAGTGGCAACTTTTGTTTGCCTAATAGTCGAATTTAGGCAAAGGAGTTGTTCATGGGTTAAAATCAGGTACATGAAGGAAACAGAGAAGAAAGTGGAAAGTACTAGGAAATCTAATGGGAGCCAGGGAGATATTCCCGGAAGAGAAGGTTGTTAGGACGAGACTGAGAAAATGTATTATCACATGACATTTATACGGCATTGCACATGATAACTGTACATTTTGCAGCTGTGTATTTACAAAATTCTGATAGTAGTTAGGTAGCATTAAGTCTGTTGGGGTAAAAGGGACCAAATTCATTTGTCCTATATTGCATGTAAGCAGATGGAGAAAGGCTATATTTGGTTTCCTTGTGCTCTTTATTTTATTCTCATTTAGTTCCATCTGTTCATGTCATGCTAGAAGGATGTGTTGCAGTACCAAGTCAGAGATCACTGTTACTTCTTTCTTTGCAGTTATTTTTATCTTCTCAAAGCTTTATTAATTCAACATATTGATTTGTTTTCCTTTGCTTTGTAAATTGCAGTTATGCCAGACTTTGCTCAAGTTTACAGCTTCATTGGCAGTGTCTTTGATCCAAGTACGAGGGACCACTTACAGAGATTAAAAAAGATGGACCCCATTGATATCCAGACGGTATGTTGGATTAAATTAGCAGACGTATATGTTGATGTTAGTTCCAGTTTGCAATTCACGTGATGTATAGTTGTGAACAAAGAAAGGTGCAGAGACACTTATGTTGCATGTTGTAACTCTGTACATGAAGCATATATCCTTAGCTTGGAATTGAGGCGTAGTTGTGTTTGTTGTATATGAGGTGTAAATCTTATACTCGTCTGATCCTAACTGAGATGACCTGACCTTCTTTGACTGCCATGTTGATAGAGAACTTGAATGGTTAATTTTATAGGTTAACATTGAATAGACAGAAAGAATTTCTCTCTCTGCCTCTGCAAATTGCAGTAAAGCCTTGGTTCCTGGAGTTTTAGATTCTTCAGATTGGGGGGGGATGTTAACTTTGTCAGACCTCAGATATCCACTACTGCATGCTGACATGGAAGTCTATGAATGGCTTCATCTCACTTGACTGAAAGATACTGTTTTGTTGGTTTGCAGGCACTGATGTTGATGAAGAATCTATCCTTCAATTTATCGAGTCCTGAATTTGAGGATCATGTAAGTCACAATCTGTCAATTTCATCATATCTTAATCAGTAAAGGCTTATGTGATGTGATCTAGTTAGAAGTCTCAAGGTCTTAATAGAGCTGGAGAAATTACACTTGGTTCTTTTGGAGAAGGATTATGTTTCTTTTTTATTGTGGTTTCTGATATGCGGAGTCTTATTTTTTTGAGTATCTTCTTGTACCCGTGATGCAATAGTTTGTATTGTTAAGAAACCAAGTCGCGAAATTTCTTTTTTTCTGGGGAATTCTCATTTGTTGAGTTGGACATGAGCTCAGGTTGTCTTGGGCTTTGACCACGTATAGCTCAGGCTACAGTTTCTAAGCTTTCTGGGATCATGAGTCTAGATATGAACAGGCGTTCTCAAATTATAGTTGGGAGCCGTCTGCATTCTCAAATTACAATTGGGAGTTACACTTGTGGCTGATTTTGATCTACTATATATAGGCACTAAATACCTTCCCTAGATGCATCTCTTGTTTTCACTCTTCATTCACCTAGCCGCATGCATCCCTTTGGCGGCCCCCTCTATAGTCACATCCAAGGATCGTTTGTTTGCAGTAATGGATTTTGATTATCACAGCATCCTTGCAATCTTTGTCCTTTTCTATATTTTACCATTGTTCTGTGTGGTCAACGGCGTCACACCACTAAGTTATCTTAACTTAGTTTTTGCTTAGTATTTTGTATTTCTTCTGAAAGTTTATGGGATACTTTGAAGCGATTTTGAGTTTTGAAAGGACTATTGTTGAACTTTTGTTTTAATCTTTTTATTCTTTTTGTGAGAAGTTGCATTTCTGGATAGCTTTTTGGCTTGTTAACCCCATCTTGGGTAAGATTGCAGAAATGTCTGTTTTTAAAATAAGCTTCCGGAGAAAACTCAAACCAGATACTTTCTAAAATCGAGTGTGCCTCGAGAAACCTCTCACGAATACGAGAAGCTTCACAGAATAGAAAGAAAATAAATCATTCATAGATGCAAGCTTTTCCTGTTGGCCTAAGGACTTGCAAGTTTTGATGTATTGAGATCTAATTTTCTGTACCTACATTAGGGTGTTACTTTAATCAAGTAGAGAAAATAAGATGTGGTGGTACATACCAAATTGACGAAGTCTTTGTAGAAGCATGAGATGAATGGTTACGCTTAGTGCTGCAGTATGTTTTTTGAAATTGCTTTCAGAAATTGTGATTAAGTTATATTTGGTAAAGTTGTGTGAGGCGAGAAGTTGTACTCTACATAAAGAGGCCAGCCATCGCCAAGTGGAGAAGATGAGTCGTAGATGTGTCGTTTCTCAAGTCAATGAATCAAGTTAAAATTTGACCTGGCTGGCAGGGATGGTTCTATAGTGTAAAAAAGAAAAAGATATGTGCCTTGAGCCCCAAAAATTTAAGGGGCCTCATTTTTAATAGTCATAGGTTATAAGTTATTATTTTTAATTAATAGTCGTAGGTTATAAGTTATTATTTTTAATTAATGTTGAATACTATTTGTAGAATAAGTGAACTTTTCATGAATAATGAAGAAAATATTAGAAGAAATTTGACATATTTGGTGTACAATATCTCATGAAAAAAAATTTAAAATATGAATAATTGTATCATCAATTGAAAACTAGAAGAAATTAATCACATCAACTTTAAGGCTCATTTGATTTTAGCTTTAGGCCACTAAAATACTTAAGCCGCTTCTGCTGGCTGGGGCGCAGCTTCCGCCCAGTGTATATGCGTTCTTATTTTCCGTCTTCTTTCTGGAAAGTAAGTAGACAGCAACAAATGGATGTCGAGATAGATAAAATAATAAATGAATTATGATCTGGAGTAAGGTCCCTGTGGATTTTTTACCTCCTATATCCATTGGGGTCTTCACTGTCACTAGGATAAATGTTGCGTAGTATGAAACCTAAATGAATTGGTCAGTAATCCATTGTTTATCACTCTTATCTTATTGATCTTATTCGTTATCCCATGCTTGGTTCAGAGGAGGATGCTTTCATCATATGGCCTGGGTGCTGAAAAAGATAAAATGGACCTTCCTATAAAATCTGATTTCAGAGGTAACGCCATCCGAGCTATCTAAAGGAGGCTGGAGGAAGGTTCAGATGATTCATGCTCATTGCATATGATTGGTGGAGACAATTGTACGAAGAGAATGGTGTAATGTAAAGATGTTTTGCTTGTGCATCTAGTGTGTTCATATGCTTCAAACAAGCATGTTGCCATCTCCATCCTGTATATATCTCGTTGGGGGAACAATGCGGGAGTATGCTTTAAGAGGTTGTATCTTGTATGTACTTGTGGAGAGTAGATATGTAGGCTTGATCAGCTGTATTATAGATTATGTAGTGCTTGTGTTGTATGTTGTAGAGGGCTGTGCCCCTCATTGGTTCTGTCCTAAGAAACGCCCAATGAATCAGACACTTTGTAGCAGTAGTGTGTTTGACATGTGGAGAAGAAACGAAAATGACCTCTTGTGTTTTGATGTAAATGGATCAATGACATAATAGTATTGGTGGAGAGGAATCAAAAAGTGTTACAATAAAGAGGTGTATATCAACTGAACTATTACGATTTGTTCCCCATTGATTCATAATTATCCTCCTAATAGGCCATTCAAAGCACAAATGACTGAGAAACTTTATCTTTCACTTCTAAAAATATGAATCAATGGGGAACAAATCAAACAATAGAGGAAAAGAAAATCAAAAAACTTCAGCACCAATTCAAGCAAGTCAATCATAGAAGTAGTATGAAGGTTAAAGAATTCACTAATGTACCTAAAATTGTTGATGAAGTAAGTATATTCAGTTCAAGATTAAACCTGCGTAAAGTAATCTCACTTCTTTGAACTTGAAGCTATCCCATCTATTCTGTCAACAACTTTCTTCTTCATCTCTTTCATCGTGCGATCTAACTCATCAAGTTCATCCATACCCATATCATCAAGTGGCACCTCCAGTCCCAAGGTCACATAATCTTCCACTGCCTCTTCATCAACCGGAACAACTTCACCGATCTCCGGAGCAGATGTGGCAGCAATGTAGCGATTCACCACGGTGTCAACAGAGGGATGACCGAATGCAAAGATATTGCCGGCCAAAGAAAACGTGATCACAGCCGCTTCAGCGTCGCATCTTTTGACCAACTCCTTGGTTTTCTTAAACAGACCTTGTCTACGTTTTGTGAAAGTGGTATGCCTTTTAGCCTTATCCTCAATTTTCTTGATTTCAACTTTTGTACGTACCATGGTTGGCAGAAATTAACCTGCAAGGGTTTAAATCTAGGGTTTTAACTTCTTTTACACGTAAAAAGAAGAAGAAAGCCGTAGCATTCACTAGAAAATTAAACCCTAGATCTTCTGAACCAATTTTGTGAAGTGAATTAAGAATTCATACAGAGAAATCATAGACAGAAACTAAACTACTACTTCAAATATTGATACGAATGATTAGTATAGAAACGTGATGATTCCATTGAAGTTGATAACAAGTTAGTACAATTCAATGGATACGGAAGTAAAACCAACAAAAGCGAGCGAGCGACAGAGAAAAAATCACCAATGGCGTTTTCTCTTCTCTTCTAGACGAAAGAACTTCGCTTTGCCGCCAAGCAACAGAGAGGCGCCTTATTTGTTAATGCGAGGGGATGAGGGTATTGCGAGACTATTATATATAGGGGCGGGAATTCATTTAGAGAAAAAAATTTGAGGTTTTTTTCTTCTTTTTTTTTCAAAATCCTAGTAAAGGTTTTAAATCATCACAAATCGATTTTGTTTGGTTTAGTTTTGGATTTTTCAAAATCGATAGTATTTGATTTAATTTGGTTATGATCTTGTTCGAAAAAATCGAAGAAACAACTGAACAAAATTAACAAATTATATACATAATTTCTATCCTAATATATTGTTTTTATAGATAATTTTAAAGATCTTATTTATGTTTTCATCAAAATATATTTATAATTTACTTATGAAAGCAAAAATTCTCAAGTGAGAACATTTATTTTATTGAGTTTATCATTTTCATGTATATGAATGTCTAAAGTTAAGCTTTATTGATAGTTAATTAAGTGATCAAAACATTTGTAATGTCAAATCATTTTAACTATTTTTCGTTCTAGGCAAAATAGATAATTTTGAAGCTTTATTCATAGTAAATTAAGTGATGAAACACATGTGATGTCAATCATTTTAAGTATCTTTTTGTTTTGAATAGATTGTTATCACTTTTTCACATTTTACGTGAAATGTTTCTTTTATTTTTTGTGTATGATTAATAATTAAATCACTAAAACAAACCAAATCAAAATTGATACCAACCAAACTCATAATATATATATATATACACACACTCATTCATTCACCTAATGTTGGGGCCAAAAAAAAAAATTATCTAATATTATTCATGCACCTTATGCTAAGCACTGAGCGTGATGCGGAGTATTAAAGCACAGTGTTGTAGGGTGTTAAAGCTTTGGAGTGTAAGTTAAGTCCAAAATCTAATTTCACATGGTGTGTGTGTATATGTATATATATATTGTTTGGTTTTGATAATTTTAAAATCAATTAAGTTGGCTTGATTTTGATTTTGATCAATAACTGATTCAAATTAACCTGTGAACACCCTTGCTTGACTCCCTAAATAATACTCCATCCATCTCTTTTTAGTTGTCCTAATTTTCTTTTTGAAAATCAAACGATATGAATATTGACTAACATTTGAAATTTTTCCACCTACGAAAATTGTTGCAATTTGTAGTACTTTTTCTAAAATTTTTGAATATCTAGATTTTTTTAATGAATGTTATCTAATTTAACTTTATAAATTAGCTAAATTAACTCTAGTAAACCATAATATGAATTTGTTTAGAAAAATATCATCGTGAATAGAATATATGAGTTTCATTTTGAGTATTAAAGTCGAATTAGGAAAGTAGTTTGTTTTGAAGTTGGAAGTTCCAGAAATATGTTAGTTCAAGTAGGATCTTTATCCTGCAATTCAAACGAGTTGAACATTGTAGGTCTAAGTTAATTACAACAACTTATAAACAACACTTCATAGACCAGCTAGGTCCTCCTTTTTGCCTTTCAACAATTATCTACTAATACAAGGCACTCACATGGAAACCAGATTGCTTCTTCAGCACCATCCATGCCCATCGTTGCTATTGCTACTGCGCCTCCATATTTGAAATAGGAATAGCCTGTATTCTGGTGCTATACAACACAGTTCTTTCTGGGGAAAACTAAAAGACATGTCCAAGAAAAGGGAAGGGGATAAGGGAGCGAGCGGGTAACAATCAGATCAAGAAGAACTGACGAGAATTTCAACCATGTTTGCACAATATAGTAAGAGATGTCGATACAGTGGCCCATTCCTGCCACTCCTTTACTGATGTATGTAGAGATGACAGACAGTAACCCTAAACCCACCACCTAGTACGAAAAAGTAGAATCTAAGTATTATGTCATTTCTCCTGATATCTTGCCCATAAGTGATGGTCTATATCAGTACCACATAAAAGACGTTAACCTTATCTATGTCGCATTCCCATGTCAAGCTCGTGACCATACATCCCCTGTCCCCGCCCAGCAGGAAAAGGGTGAATCTGCTTAGAAGCCCTAAGCTCCATCTCGATAAGCCTTTGCAGGGCATCAGGATGATTGTTTCGGCTGTTGATGTCTGGGCCTGAGGAAGAAAAGAATATGATATAAACTCACACAGATGGTCAAACATCGATAGTTCATCTTCAATCAGAAAAGTGGCAAAACTAAGAGTGCAAGACATTTTTTTAACAATTCATGATATGTGGACAATATTCTACTCTGTTCTAGATTTTCAGGGTCCAATAGTATTCAGCAAAGCATATCTCGAGACATAGCATCCAGAAAATAAGTGGGCATGCGAAAAACAATTTACTAGTTCAAGTCTCAAAAGCCGACATGCTTCGCAAACAGAGTAATCTATAGCAAAAAAGAGCTGAATAATAACACAAGAATAGCTACTGGTTTTACTTGTAAACGGCTAGAACGAAACTGCAGAAAGTAACGGAAAAAAATGAGCAGCTTGATGAAAAAATCGACAAGAATGAGCAGATACCTACTTCAAGTCATTAGACCTACAGGTTTTCAATGGGCAAGCTAAGGCTGATGTTGGCGAATAGACAACTTGGTCATGTTAATCCTCAATTTTGACTAGATAAAAATTCAAAATCTAACAGGAAAGGAGGTCTAGGAAAGATGAATAAGTTCTCCGTAAATACAAGAGATAATTTAAACAATAAGGTGTATGGTGGCAGTAACCAATGGAGTAAAACTCCTAACAAATTGCAATTCAAGTATATTGTTGTTTCCATCAGTAAAGAATGCAAGTGAGGCGGCGCAGGCAGGAGATAAAAGGATATAAATATACGCGACAGTAGAATTGAAAAATAAGCAGAAGGTGTTGCAAAGATTAAGAAACTCGTTGCTTTTATTATAGCAAAGATCAAAAAAGAGAAACTTATTATTGAGGTGTAATCCAAAGAAGAACAAGACGCAGACAGGAAGCTGTAGAGACATCACATCAAAGTTTTACCTGGAATTTGCATCCCGATCCCATTAACGTTGACTTGGTGAGGTTTAAAAGGGAACCCTTGCATTGGGTTAGCTTCATGCACAAAGCCAGCTGCCTGATTACTGGAATGTGAAGGAACTGGGGCACCACTTAGACGGTCATGTAGCAGATGACGGGGGTGAGGTCCAGACATTTGCATCTGCTGCAGCATAGGATGATGAGCAGGAATATCAAACCCTGTCACCCTAGCATTAGGGTGGTGAAAAGGAGATCTCATCATGTTTCCAGCAAATTGATGACCTGGAACGGCATCATGTCGAGTCATGCCCTCTGGACCAGACATAATCTGAGTGTTCAAATGAGCAGGACGAGAATCCAATGGATGAAGTAATGGTTTCCCTTGATTCATTTGCAAAGGATGAAATTGAGAAGATGATGGTTGACCATGGAGATGGTGATGGTGAAACAGCATCTCAGACTCTATCTGTTCGTGAGAAGCCCGTGGAAAGGGCAGTGCTCCTGGACCCATCAAAGACATTTGATCACTGCCAACTGAATTAACAGTCATCAAATCACTTTTACCCATATTTTCTGCGGGCATAAACGTAGAGACCTGGGGTACCAAAGGATCGCCAACAGGTAGATGAAATCCACCAGCCCGATAATCACCATTTCTGGAGACCGCTTCAGTCTGGCGCCTCAAGGAATTGACTTCATACAAGGAATCATTGCAACCCAACCAGTTTTCTGCCTTATCCAGCTTTGTGTGATCTCTGCAACTTGAAGATAAGACAATATTCTCCTTAGTTGCTCTATCATCAATTATCAAAGAAGAAAGGGTATCATCAGAACCAGGCAAGGATGATTTTTGAGCCTCCAGAGAAACATTTTGTCCAGAACCAACTGAAATCCTCTGAACTGAAACTGGAGCTTGTGCAGATTGTAATTCGGTCATAAAAGCAGTTCCAAAAAGTGATTCAAGTGTGAGTGTATCCTTGTTATCTTCCTTCTTAGATCTGTCTTGCATGGTAATATCGCCACGTGCCTCCAAGGATTCAATTCCAGCATTGGACTTCTCTGTCACATTTCCATGATCTGGCCTCTTCTGTAATAATGAAAGGAGGTGTTGAGATGCCTGGCTATCCACAATTACAGGTTCCTTAGGCTTTGTGTGATTAGTATTCCAGCCTTGTGGCTGCGAATTAGACTTCTTTTCGCTGAACTCAGACAACATTGTATGCTCAAGGTCTTCACAAGTAAGAATTGTGGGTGCTGCCTCCCTCTTACTGGGCTTATACACAGGCTCAGGCCCCCCAAGTGGCGAAGAAGGAAAATTGGAGACAAACTTACTTGTAGGATCAGGACTATGATAGGAGAATTCTGATGGGAATTGATCTGAAGGATTAGCCTCAAAAGGTTGTGTTCTGTTTTTATCGCCACCAACAATTAATGCAAGCAGATCACCAGGCCTGCTTGATGAAGGATCATCTTCCTGTTTCCTCTCTGCTATGACACAAGTGAGATAAGACTGTTTACATAAGATTTCAAGAGATTTTGATAGAAATTAACAAGAAATGCAGGGGGGAGAAATAGATATACCTTCTTCGAAAAACCAATGAGCAAATTTCGATGATTGAACAGCTTTGGAGTCTAATGTTTCACTTGGTTTACTACCTTCATTCTGAGCAACATGGTCGAGCCAAAAAGTAACTAGTTAGCAGGGATTCCAGAAAGTAATATGAGAAGTTTTGACCACTAAATAAGTCCACATTGTTAGTTACTCCCCCTATCCAATTTAAATAGCAGACTTAATCCGTCCCCCAAAAAAATGTCACATTCCTATAATTAAAAAGAATTTACCTTAAAATTCCCCTTTTTAAAAAACTTTATTCTCCTTTTGCCCTTGATGAAATGAATTATAACCACATAAATGTGTACGGTTTTTTTTAGACCACAAATTTCAAAAGTCTTCCTTTATTTCTTAAAATTTGTGTCCAGTCAAAAGGTGCCATATAAATTAGGAGGGAGGATATTCTTGGACAGAAAAAGAGGAAAAGGAACACACAAGTTGATCCCCAGCATTTAGGCAGATGACAAAATAAAAAA